TCGTTTTATATTCTTTTGATTTTACCAGTAAGGGTAGAGATGTATTGTGAGTGGTAGGTTTTGGTTTATGCTGAATATGAAGAAGATTTCTGTAACTATTAAAATGTAAATAAAATATTCAAATTTAATGTCGTGAGGGTATTCTAAGTTTGATATGGCCAACATATCTGTAATATCTCCAAATATTGGCCCTAGACACACTATGGTCCTAGTCCCACTATGCTATATCAATCTTCATATGGATCATGTAAATGAGAGAACGAATCTTGATATCCCCAATTTATTGATGGTTTTTATACCCTCCACTATAGTATGGAGGGTATATTAAGTTTGTTATTCCGTTTGTCATTCCTCGAAATATACATTTTAGATCCCACAAAGTATATATATTCTTGATCAGCATAAAATTCTATTTCTATTTAGCAATTTCTAATTTTTTCTATTTTTATACCCTACACCACATAGTGGTAAGGGTATTATGTCTTTGTGCATTTGTTTGTAACATGGAGAAGGAAACGAGATAGACCCATAGTTACTTTTGAGAACCTTCATAGAATGACTTTCTGAGTCGATTTATGCATGTCAGTCCGTCTGTCCGTCCGTCCGTCCGTCTGTTCATGTATTCTTGTGAACAAAATGCAGGTCGCATTTACTATCCGATTGAGATGAAATTTTCCAAACAATATTTGTTTGGCCCAAGGACGAACCCTATTGAATTTGATGAGAATCGGATCAAATTTAGATATAGCTCCCATATATATCTTCATCCGATTTCGGGTTAAATGTGCACCAAATGTCCACTATCAGTCCAAATTACCTGAATTTTGGCACACTCAACCGAGTTCGGCCTAGAAGCAAGTATATCAAATTTGGAGAAAATCGGTTCAGATATAGCTATAGCTCCCATATATATCTTTCATCCGATTTGATCTTGAAGTCCCTCACATGCCTACTATGCACTCCACAACCGTGATATTTGGTATCAGGTATTAGATGGAGCACAGAAATAGCTGTTTTAAATTTCATCGAAATCGGTTCAGATTTGGGTATAGCTCCCATATATATCTTCATCCGATTTCGGGTTAATTGACCACCAAATGGCCAATATCAGCCCAAATGGCCCGAATTTTGGCACATGTGACCGAGATTAGCCTTAAAGCAAATACAACAAATTTGGAGAAAATCGGTTCAGAAACCGCTATAGCTCCCATATATATGTTTTATCCGATTTGGTGTTTAAGCCTCTCACATTCGTAATATGCACTCCACAAGAATGATATTTGGTTACCTGAATTTTGGCACACCCAACCGAGTTCGGCCTAGAAGCAAGTATATCAAATTTGGAGAAAATCGGTTCAGATATAGCTATAGCTCCCATATATATCTTTCATCCGATTTGATCTTGAAGTCCCTCACATGCCTACTATGCACTCCACAACCGTGATATTTGGTATCAGGTATTAGATGGAGCACAGAAATAGCTGTTTTAAATTTCATCGAAATCGGTTCAGATTTGGGTATAGCTCCCATATATATCTTCATCCGATTTCGGGTTAATTGACCACCAAATGGCCAATATCAGCCCAAATGGCCCGAATTTTGGCACATGTGACCGAGATTAGCCTTAAAGCAAATACAACAAATTTGGAGAAAATCGGTTCAGCTCCCATATATATGTTTTATCCGATTTGGTGTTTAAGCCTCTCACATTCGTAATATGCACTCCACAAGAATGATATTTGGTACCAGATATAAGATACAGCCCAGAAATAGCTGTTTGTAATTTTATCGAAATCGGTTCAGATTTGGATAAAGCTCCCATATATATCTTCATCCGATTTCGGGTGTTTGACCACCAAATGGCCGTAATAGCATCAATTTTGGCAAATCCAACCGAAACCAGCTTAGAAGCAAGTTCACCAATTTTAGTAAAAATCGGTTTAGATATAGCTATAGCTCCCATATATATCTTTCATCCGATTTGGTCTTTAAGTCCCTCACATTCGTAATATGCACTCCACATGAATGATATTTGGTACCAGATATCAGATAAAGCCCAAAAATAGTCGATTTTAATTGTATCAAAATTTGTTCATATTTGGATATAGCACCCATATGTACCTTCATTCGATTTCGTGTTAATTGTGCAACAAATGGCCAATATCAACCGAAATGGCATGAATTTTGGCATATCTGGCCAAATTCAGCCCAGAAGCAAGGACACCAATTTTAGTAAAAGTCGTTTCAGAGATAGCTATAGTTCGTAAAATGCACGATAGAATTAGATAGATTTTGATTTTGTACCAAATATCTCATAGAGCTCTGAAATGCCCTGTATAAACCTTTTTTACGAGAGCTCTACTAAATATGCATAGTGGTGTAGGGTATCATATAGTCGGCCCCGCCCGACTTTTGAGCTTTCCTTACTGGTTTTCTAATTAGCAATGTCCGTCCGTCTGTGGAAATCACTCTAGCTTCCGAACGAAATGAAGTACAGGGTTGCCCATATTCGACGGACCCATATGGCAACGCCATAACTTTTGACAAGGTGCTTTTAAAACATTAAAAAATGTGAGAAGTGCGCCTTCTAAGAACACCATTAAGCGTTTATACGAAAAATTTTCGACTGGTAAGGCTCTTTCTAATCCGAAGAGGCCATATAAAAGTCGACCAAGGCGATCCGCTATTTGAGAGATATCATATTCAAAAATTGATGTAAACAAATCTACTTGGAACAAATTAAATGATTAACATTGCCAACCTCCAAATTTGTATTTTTTTCTTTGATTTAAAAAAAAAAAAAAAACATGGGTCCGTCGAATATGGGCAACCCTGTAGGTTGATAAAATTTTACTCAAATGTGTATTATGTCTGCAGGACTTTTGGCATTTAAAATGGGCCATTCAGGTGCACGTCTTCGTATAGCCCCCATAAAACAGTACCTCCCGATATGCGGCATTTTGATGATTTTAGCGACACTATTTTCCGGAACTATTTCAAATTTAGTATTTGAACTTCGTAATGGATGCTTCGTAATGGATGCCTATGGCAGAAAATTGTCTGTGCAGGTCCACGTCTTCGTATAGCCCCCATATAACGGTATCCCTGATATTCGGTATATTGATGATTTTAGCGACAATATTTCGCATTTAAAGTTCGTATTGGATGCTACAGCCTATGCCAGAAAATTGTCTCTGCAGGTCTACGTTTTATAACCCCCATAGTACCTCCATATATTCGGTATTTTGATGATGTTAGCTACATTATAAACAGATTTTTTTTAAGTTTCGCATTTAAATTTTGTAATAGCTTGCCTATGCAGGTCCACGTCGTCGTAAAGACTCTAATATACGGCTTTATTCGGTATTTGTAAGACTTTAACAGAAATTTTAACGGATTTTATTTTTTTGAAAATTGCCAAATTTGTACCAAATTGTGGAGGGTATTCAAAGTTCGGCTTGGCCGAACTTACTGCTTTTTTACTTGTTTTCATTGTAGTCAAAAGGATTGAAAGACGGTATAAATCATTTGATACGACCAAAACGTACCTTATCGAAAAAACTGTATTAGACCCTCTCTCTTTGGTCTCTTTGGACAAAATCCGTTTCAGTACATTTGATCTATGAATGTCTGTCCGTCTGTCGGGCTGGCTGGTGCGCACGATAACACTCGAAGGGAGTATACAAATTGAACCAATCTTGTATCATAATCGTAATATATCGACTCCCTCTGGTACTTCTGCCACAAAAGGTCAAATTTTTCGAGGAAAAACCTCATAAAAAGGGAAAGGATCATTCTATTTTGTGAAAACTTTGTAAATCCCAATATTTTTGTCCTTGAAAATTAACAATATTAACCCACTCCAGCAAGTACCACCTCCACAAAGGATCAAAATTTGGAATAATTATAACTCTTATAAAATCTGAAATAAGATTCCGATAGTCTTCGAATTTCCCACATCATAATAATTTTACCAGCACAAGATCTGGGATGAATATGGGCTATATCGGCTTACCATTTCTGGTACCTTTCCCCCCGACAGGTCAAAATTGTGATTTGCTATAAAGCTATATAAAAACGCGAAATTAGTATTGAATTCCTTTCGACCTCAGTACATCACAATATTTCTATCTAATTAAGATCTGTTGTGAAGATGGTAGATATCGGCCCTCTACTTTTTGTATCTCCCCCACAATAGGTAAACATTTTGAATAATTATGTCTCTCGCATAAAATCCTAAAGCATTCAATTCTCACACAATTTTACACATCTCAATATCTTTATTAACTCAAGATATCGTGTGTAGAATAAATAAATCGGCCCACTACCTCTGGTATCACCCCCACAAAGAATCAAAATTTTTGGATGATGAAAATGCGAAATAACCTTTTAATTTTCTTCTTTTACTATTAAATGATACAGATCGGTAAATCCCATTTTGTACCTCGATTGACTGTCAGTCAGTCTCTGAAATGTTTTTAACTAACAAGTACCCGCTACTTCATCCACCAAGTCCGCCATAAATTTATTGAGTCATTCCCTATTTGATTTTAGTACTCAAAACTCAAAATATGTTCATTATTTATTAGACGAAATTTCCAGAGAAACTTCAAACATCGTACTAACTTTTCAACTGCTCAAGTATGATATCAAAAAGGACAATAGAAAAATGATTGCACCAAATTTGTTCAATTGGCGACTACCATATCTAAATCCTAGAAGCCAACAGTGACTTAAATATAAAATCCCAGGATTCGAGCTCTATTTATTCACTCAACGGCATATTTAGTACAAATCCACCCCCTTCTCTCAATACAATATACCAACAGTGGCTTTCATATAAACAGTGACATCATAGACACCATGAGTGACATCCATATCAAATGTTATGTTTTCTTTTGTATCCCTTCAACCAAAACCAAAATATTAGTACGAATTTCCAAAACTGCCTCCATATCTCAATCATACATTCTCATAGAACTTTTATTTCTAATTTTTAGAATTCCTGCTCTATTGGTTCACTACAATCCCTATTTGTACCAAATTTAGTACACGTAAGTACAAATTTCTATAATAATCAGTATCATACAATCCAATAAAAATTGTATTTTCCAATTTTGGGATTTGGGATTGTATCAAATTAGGTACACAAAGACCAACCCGGTTATCGGTTCATCCAAATCCAAATTGTAACAAATACACAAAGCACAACCCAATTCAACACTACAACAGTAATCCCAATTCAAAGTATTTAGTTTGCCTTAACACGAATTGTACTAAATTTAGTACCATGTAGTACACATAAGTACGAATTTCCAAAACTTCCTACATATCCCAATCCCACAATCCGAGAGTAATTTTAATTCCAAATTTCAGTATTCGGTTCACCCAAATCTAAATTGTACCAAATTTAGTACTATTTAGTACCCTACGTGCATATAAGTACAAATTTTGAAAACTTCCTCCATATTCCAATCCTACGCATGATACGAAATGGTACCAGTTCGAATTTCCAAAAACCCTTTGATACATATATCATACTCTCCATCAGTGATCCCCATTCCAAATTTAAGAGTTCTGTAGTAGTAAATTTTAGTACTTTTGGTAAAATTATATGCATTTCCAAAAATCCTTTGGTACATCTATCATGCACTTCATCAGTGACCTTCATTGCGCATTTAAGAGTTATAGCTCTACTGCTTCATCAAGGGATACAACTTTTAAAACCTTTAATTACTTTTCGTACCAAATTAAAGGTTTTTTCGTACGAATTTCCAAAAACGCAGCCTTATCTGACCGCTTCAGAGCCTCAGCCAAAATTTCAAGATTCTAGCTTTAGCCGTTTTGGGCGTTGATGAATTTTTAAGTCAGTCAGTCAGTCACTAAAACACTTTACCCTTTTATTAATATGAATATGTGAAATTGCAATGTTTTAGATTTAGCCGTTTTATCTGGGCTCCGAATCAGTCAGTCACTGACTCACTAAAATATTTTTAATATACCTGAACCAATTGACATATCTCCCCTATCATATGGAGTTTGAAAATACAAAATCGGTTCACGCATTCCAAAGAACATCAATTACTAACACAATGCAACTTATTTTTATAGAAATATGGATTTTACAATCTTCTTCCATAAATAGAAAACTTAAAAAGTTAAGGCCACAAAAATCACGCCAACCATTGAGGCGTATACTCGCTTCAATATAGATGGTACGAATGTGGTAAATTTGCAGATTTATTCTTAATTTATTTAACGCAACATTAAACATTTTTATGATAGTCCTAAATACATATTCAGATAAGAGCTTTCCACAACTATTTATTCAATTTTATATCAGCCCCCTTGGTTTCCATTATCTTCATGGTGGAAATAACATAGAAGCAAATATCTGGGGAGTTGTTTTGCCCTCTCCTTCCACGCATTCCTCTATAGGTCGTTTGATTCCCACTTCCATTGCTCTGTCCCCTTGTGCAGCCAGTCGTCTAATTTAATAACATTTGGGAAAACAGGAAACTCATTGTATTAGTCCTAGGTCAAGTTCATATTACGGTTGTTTGGCCACCATCATCATCCTCATCATCGGATGATAAAAGGACACCAGTTGTTACCGAAATGCTCCGGGGAGATTGTTATTTGGTGTAATGTTAATTTATTAAAATAATACTCTCTCTCTTCCCCCCCAAAAAAAGTCCATTAACCATAACTAGCTGATGGGAAAAATAAAGAAAGAGAAAAAGAAAAATCGCACAAGTAAATAAATAAGTAGCCAGCTGCAAGGCAAAGGGCAAAAATTTGTTTAATAATAATTTTTAATTCAATAAACAAATTAATGAAGTAACGACAGTCAGTGCCAGCGGAACTTTTTCAATTTTGCATGGATGTAGTCAGCTGTAATACTTATTTTGTATGAGTTTTTCTTTTTAATAAATTCTAGTTAGTTGTTACTTCATTAAAGTACATTAGTAATAGATACAAAGAAAATATTGAATAACTTAGCATGCTGTATGTAATTGCCCTTCTTGGAGATTAGCTTTGTGTGTTGAAAAAAGTTTAAGTGGGCCAATAAATTGTATATATGTATTTTAATCAGCAAAGAAACTTGTTACACCCTCAGCCATATATCAATAAAGGATATATATCGTTTGATGCGGCCAATATGTGCACCATTGAAATAACGGTTTTAGAACCTAGGTCTCTTTGGACCAAATCCGTTTCAGGAAATTTGAAGTTGATCCTGTGTTGTCCCTCCATTCGTCAGCTGGCTGACTCTCAAAAGGAGTGTCGGATTTGGAATCTTGGTACTTAGATCGAGTTCGGAGATGGGTAATATCAGTTCACTGCTTCTGTTAACTCCCCCACAAAACGTCAACATTTTCATAGAAAATAATTTACCTCATGGAAGAAGAAGTGATCATCTTATGTAGTGTTTAAACTTTGCAAATCCTAAAATTTGTACGAGTCCTGGGTCGGGTGCGAAAATGGACAAATGGACATGGAAAATGGCGGTCCAGTACCTTCCCCAAAAAGGCCAAAATTTTCAATAAGTACAACTCTTTTAAACTGCGACATAAGACTCCGATTGTCTTAATATTTCGCACATCCCAATATCATACCAATTATCAGAACTATACTACTTTACCTCCTGAGAGAGAATTGTCTATATAGGTCCACGATTTCGTGTAGCCTTCCCGATATTCGGTATTATGATGATTTTAGCCACAATTTTTTAATGGCCTTGTCTGAAATTCTACACAAGGAGTTCCCTGTGAGTACTTTACCACCCAAAAGAGAATTGTCTATATAGGTTCATGATATCGTATAGCCTCCATAAGATGGTACCCCCCGATATCCGGTAGTATGATGATTCTGATTATTTCAATGGAATTGTCATAAAATCCACAAGAGGAGTTCGTTATGAGTACATTACTCACTGGAAGATAATTGTCTATATAGGTCTAGTTTTTAGTACAGCACCCATATAATGGTACCTCCGATATTCGGTATTTCCGTGATTTTAACGGCATTATTCGCAGGAATTGTTGTCGGAATTTCGGCAGTGAAAATTCCACTTTAGAATTTTAGATCTTCCCAACAGTTCGTGTTAGGCCTTTTTAGTACAGAAAATTCACAGTTTGTTAAGTTTGATAACATTTTTTGACCAAAACTTCATACATTGCTCTAAATTTTCAAACTTTCAAGGTTTTATTTTTTATTAAAAGTTTTTCTTTTTTGAAAAGAATACTGGGAAAATATATTACCTTTCCACGAGGAGGATATTAGTAAAACCATAGCACTATGGGGCCAGATCCAATTTTTCTCTCCAAAACTATCTCAACGTCTTCATATGTAAACCCTAGAATCCAAAAATGATTCCAATGACAAATTTCGGGATTTTAGCTGCGGCCCTTCATCCAATATCAAATTTAGTAATATTTGTCGCATATCCAGAACAATATAAATCTCTCTATCCTAGACAAGAACAGTGATTAAAAATTAGTACCATTTAGTACTTTTTGAACAATTATAGTACAAATTTGAAAGAAACCACTATGAGATTTCAACATCTCAATATACAATTTCGGGATACAAATACCAAATTTAGTACCATTTAGTATTTTTCGTAAATATAAAGGGCATATTTCCAAACCATCTCCATATCACAAACACAGATACCATCAGCAATATAAATATCAAATTTCAGAACTTTATCTCCATCCCTTCACCCAATACCACATTTAGTAGGGTTGAGTTATTTTCGTACAGTTGAAGTACACATTTTCAAAATAATCTCTATATCCCAGCCTCAGATACCAACAATGTCCTTAATATCAAATATCAGAATTTCAGCTTTGTAATTTCCTCGAATACAAAATTTAGTACCCCAGTGCGATTAAAGTACGCATATTCGAAACCAGCTCATTCTCTCAACTACAAACATCAACGGTGACATCAATATCAAATTTCAGGATTCCAGCCCTATCCCTTCTCCCAAAAACACCACCATATCTCAAATACTTACAGAGACCTCAATATCAAATTTCCAGCTCAATCCCTTCAATCAGTACCAAATTTAGTAATAATTAGTACTAGAGCAGTGTTGGCTTGTTTATTCGGGATACAGTAGTATTTTGTTGTTGCAAAATGGTCAGGCTTTATCCTTTTATTGTTGTTTTTATAAAAACAAAGTTTGTTTATTAGTGGAAACGATTAGTACTTTGCGTACAATTGTAGTACATATTACCAAAACCACCTTTATATCTCAATTGCAAATATCAGCAGGGCCTCAATATCAAATTTGAGGATTCCAGCCCTATCCCTTCACCCAATACCAAGTTTAATACCACATGGTACTTTTTTAGTACTTTAGTACAAATATAGGACGCATTTCCAATCCGCTCGGATATATAAATATCAAATTTCAAAATTTTACATATGTCCCTTTACCCAAAATCAAATATAGTACCATTCAGTACTTCAGTACAATTACAGTACACATTTTCGAAACCCCCTCCATATGTCAAGGCTACACATGAACAGCGACTTTAATACCAAAATTTCCGATTTCAATCGTTATTTATTTACCCAATACCAAACTGTACTAAATCTAGTGCTATTTAGTACTTTTAGTGCACTCGTAGTACACATTTCCAAAACCACCTCAATATCACAAAGCTACCACCAACAGGAATTCCAATATAAAATTCTCAAATTTCAGCTTCATCCGTTCACTCTTACAAATTTAGTGCAATTTAGTAAAGTTAGCACACTTCGTACACATTTCCAAAACAACCTTGATATATCAAATTTTATTTCCAATCTTGATTCTCTTACCGAATTTCAAGTTTTTGGCTTTATCCGTTCACATAATGTCAAATGGTACAATTTTACAAGTTTTCTAAATTTGAAGTTAAAATTTCCAATAACCCTTTGGTACATCTATTCTGCACTCCATCAGTGACTCTCATTCCAAATATCAGTATTCCAGCTCCATCGGTTCATCACAACTCCAATATGTACCAAATTTTGTATATTTTAGCACACAAAATTACAAATTTTCAAAACAGCTTACAGCCTGAGAGTAATCTTATTTCCAATTTTAAGGATACCAGCTCTATTAGTTTGCCAAATTCCATTTTGCAACAACAAAATCCAAATTGTAACAAATTAAGTACGATTTAGTACAATTAGGTACTAATTTTCATAACAATCTGCGTCGTACAGTTTAATAGAAATCTTATGTGCAAATTTCCGAACTCCAACTCTACCGGTTCATCCAAAATTTAAATTGTGCCAAATTTAATACCATTTTACACACATATGTCCGAATTTCGAAAACTACCTACATTCCTTAGACCTAGCATGCAACAGTAATCTTGTTTCTCCATCGATGCATTCATATCGAAATTGTACGAAATTTAGTACCACTTAGTACTTTCGTGCATAGGTACAAATTTAAAAAACTTCATCCATATCCCAATCCTACACTCCGCTAGTAATGTTAATATCAAATGTTAGGATTCCAGCTCCATCCGTTCCTCCAATTTCAAATTGTACTAAATTTAGTACCGTTTAGTACTTTTCATATACATGAGTACACACTTCCGAGTACTACCTCCTTATATCGACTCTGCTCCTCAACATTGATTCCCATTCCAAATTTCAAGTTTTTATGTCTAACCGTTTACATGATACTAAATGGTACCAAATTTAGTACTTTTCGTACATTTATAGTGCGAATTTCCCAAAACGCTTTGATTCATCTATCATACACTCCATCCGTGGCCCTTATTCCAAATTTAAGACTCCTAGCTCTACTGCTGCCTCAAATACAATGGGTACCTTTTAATACTTTTGAACCGTTTTTGTAAGAATTTCCAAAAAAATGTCCTTCTGAAGTTGTTGTCCTGTAATCTTAATTTTTATACGCTTGCCGTCACTTCCAAGTTAATTCAATAATTCTGCGGCTCAAAAAGACAATTTTCTTCAATGTCCTTATATCCTGATTATCACATACATGTTTAATGTTAAAATCCTTTATGACCCTTATCATGTCCTTTTTGCATTCTTTTTATACTGTCCAATTACACAACCATAAAAATAATTTTTAATGACAATCAAGTTGAAATTGTTAAAAAAGGTCAATTCTTTTTCTCTGCCTTTCTCTCTCTCTCTCACACACACTTTTCCGACAATTGTTTTATTTTCCTTCAATTCCTTGTTTTAACATTTCAAAAGCCAAATGATTTAATTGCAAAAGACAGATGTCAAAAATTACACATTAAAATAAATGGTTGGTCGGATTGTGTAAACACACAAACAAACATACAGGGAGACGCACACACACACACACACAAACATAAATGCACGCATATCCGCATAAGAGACATCAAACGGAGACGCATGAAGGCTAACACCACAGCCTGGCAGACCACCACAACCCATAACACGAAGATAAATAGCAGCTACCATAATTTATAATTCAAGCAACGACCACACAGCTGCAGCGTTCACAACCGCAGCATTGACGATGTTGTGAAAGTCAAAGGATACAAGTTCTTTTCAAGCTGTCCACGCCACCGACCAACCGGCTGAGTGTTCGTTTTTAAATTTGGATCGTTTTTAAATTTGCCTGCTTCCCTGCTTCCCATAGAATCCAGGCAGCACAAACCATTCCCTGAAAGCCACATCATACAACACAATGACACACGCACACACACAGACACTGAAATAGGAGAGGAAGTGAGAAGAGAGGGAGTGTGAGTGTGATGATGCAGCAAACGTCTGTTGCCAATACTTCTGCTTACAACAGCGAGCGAGCAGTGAATTGGTGGAAATGCTGAATTGTTATGGCAGTGAAATTAAATTTTACGAATACCAGAATAACACGCAGTTAATGCGACAACATGAAAGCCAACAACTGGTGGAAATGCACTTCTTTTTATCTAAGACTCGTCGTGCAGTAGCAACACATAACGCATCAGCCAACCAACCAACCGACCGACTATCCAACCCAGTGATGGCGCATTAATGATGCTGGCTGGCGAACTGCATCAACAGTTCCACCGCGCGAGCTATTGGTAATTCATGCCACAATAATAGCATCAACAAATCTGGCATTGCCACTCTACAATGAGTAGTACGACAACAACAACACCAACGCCACCAACATCGAGAAAACATGAAAAATCACAGCCATGTACTTTCACACAACAATGGAATTGGAATTGCTCACCATGGTGTTGCACAATTCCCGATTTGTCGGAGTCTCTAGTGGCAACGCAGGGAAAGACGCAAAAAATGATGATTAACCGATGAAGTGAACAATTTTGCCACGACGCTGCTGTGTGACAAGAACATAATTTGATGTAGCAAAAATTAACTAACATCGAGGTAGTATTATTGCGTGTAAATTCAATCGATAGATAGTGGAAAAATTGGGACTCAAAACTATTTTTCTGAATTTCAGAGATTTTCTGCTTTGAAGCATTTTTGAAACAGAAACAAGTAAGAAAGTTGTTGACGCTCTTCACCAGGAGGAAATTCCATTCCAATCTGCAAGAATGTAAACGTTTTTACTACGAACACCGATTTTCACTTTATGATATCGATACAAATGCAAAACTAGTAGATTCTTCTATACTCAAATTTGTCTTTTTTTAAGTTTGACCAAAAATTTTAATTAGAACTTCTTTTTATACGATCCACCATAGTATGGAGGGTATATAAAGTTTGTAATTCCGTTTGTAACACCTCGAAATACACATTTTAGACCCCATAAAACATATATGTTCTTCATCAGCATTAAATTCTATGTCGAACTAGCGATGTCTGTCCGTCTGTCCATCTGTGGAAATCTTTCTAGCTTCCGAACGAATTGAAGAAGATTGGTAAAATTTTACTGTATGTTATGTCTGCAGGTCTTTTAGTATTGAAATTGGACCATGTAGGTCCACGTTTTGGTATAGCCCCATATAACGGTACGTCCCGATATTCGGTATTTTGATGATTTTAGCGAATTTGTTCACCGGAATTGTTTCAAATTTGTCTGTGCAGGACCACGTCTTCGAAGAGGCCCCATATAACGGTACCGCCCGATATTCGGCATTTTAATGATTTTAGGGACACTTTTCACCAGAATTGTTTCAAATTTGGTATTTGAAGTTCGCAGTGGATACTACTGCCTATGACAGAAAATTGTATGTGCAGTTCCACGTCTTCGTATAGCCCCCATATAACGGTACCTCCTAATATTCAGTATTTTGATGATTTTATCGTCTGGATTAGTTTTAAATTACGTATTTAGAGTTTGTAATGGGAACTACAGTATGTGACAGAAAATTGTCTATGCAAGTCCAGGTCTTCGTATAGGCCCCATATATCAGTACCTCCATATATTCGGTATTCTGACGATTTTAGGTACAATACTCACCGAAATTGTTTAAGATGTCGTATTTGAAGTTCGTAATGAATGCTACAGCCTGTGACAGAACATTTCCTATGTCAGTCCAGGTCTTCATACAGTTCCGATATAACGGTACCACCCTATATACGCAATTTTGATGATTTTAGCTAAATTAATCACCGTTTATTTCAAGTTTCGCATTTGAATATAGCATAAGACAAACAATGCCTATGTGGGTCCACATCGTATAGACCTCAATATAACGGCTATATTCTGTATTCGAGGAGGGGCCCGACCTGGCCGAACTTACTGCTTTTAACCTTGTTTTCTTTTTCAGAAGGAATAATAGTGTTGGCATCCGTGCCGTAGTATTTTGTTATTGCAAGATAGTTATCCTTAGTCCCATTTATTTATTTATTAGTGGAGAAAGTTATGGTTCCTCTTCTATTGAGCTTACAATATCGTCGATTATGTAAACTAGGTTTTTTTGTCATAGCTGTTATTTTAGAAAAACTTCTGGGAGAATATCCCAGACAAAAAGAAAACTGATGAGGATTTGCGGCTATTTCCGAAACCTAGGTATTCCCTGCCTTACCCCCTGGCAAACATTACTATCCATCTCCACTAATTAATAAATGTTGTTTTTATAAAAATAACAATAATGGGATTAAGCCTATCTTCTTTGAAACAAAATAGTAGGATATGTTTATCTTTCACACCAAAATATTTTCAAAATTTTTAATTTTGAAGTGTACCGAGGAGGTAGATGGACCCAGATCCAAGTTCTTTGTCCAAAACTATTTCAACATCTCCATGTGTAAACGCTAAAATCAAACAATGACCTCAATATCAATTTTCAGATTTTTAGTTATATTCTTTCACTCAATACTAAATTTAGTAACATTTGATACTTTTAGTACAATTATACAGCTTTCCAAAAAAAAAATACCTACATATCTTAATTCCAGACACCAACAGAAACCTCAGTATCAGTTTAGAGGAATCCAGCCCTATCCCAAGTCTCAATATCACATTTGATGATTTCAGCTCTATCCATTCACCCAGTAACGAATTTAGTACAATTTAGTAGTTTTCGTAAAATTATTTTACTCATTTTCAAAACCATATCCCAATTTCAGATACCAACAGAGATCTCAATATCGAATCTGGGGATTTCAGCTATGTTCCTTTGTCCAATACAAAATTAAGTACTATTTAGTACTTTTCGTAAAATTATGGTATACATCTACAAATCACCGCCAAACTTTAAACACAGATACCATCAGTAATCTAAATGTCAAATTTCAGAATCTTATCTCTATATCTTCAACAAAAGCTAAATTTAATAACATTTGGTACGTTTCGTACAATTAAAGTACATATTTCCAAAACCATCTCCATATCTCAATTTCAGATACGAACAGAGACCTTAATGTCAATGTTGAGGACTGAAACTCTATCCTTTCACCCAGTACCAACTTTAGTACTCTTTAGAACTTTTCGCACAATTATAGTACACACTGATACCAAATTTATTACTTTTCGTAAACCAAATCTCCAACACAGGTACCATCAGTAATCTAAATATCAAATATCAGAATTGTATCTATATCCCTTCCCTCAATATCAAATTTAGCACTTTTCGTACAATTATATTATTCATTTCCAAAACCATTTTCATATCTCAATTCCAGATACCAACAGAGATCTCAATATAAAATTCCTTCGTCCAATACCAAATTAAGTACTATTAATACAATAAGTACAATTATAGTACACATTTCCAAATCTCAGCCAAATCCTAATAACAGATATCATCAGTAACCTAAATGTTAAATTTCCGAAGTTTATCTCTATCCCTTCAACCAAAACCAAATTTAGTACCACTTAGTACTTTTCGTACCACTGACATAAACAGTGAAATTTATATTAAATTTTAGTATTCCAGGTCTGTACCTTCACATAACGCCACTCCCTAAACCAAACTGTTATAAATTTAGCATCATTTACTACTTTTCGTATATATATGCCAGAAGAACCAAAAAATAATAATAAATAAATAAATAAAAAAGTTCTGGTAACTTTATTGTTCCTGCACCTAATACCAATTTTTCGTACCACTTGTTACTTTTCGTTCACGTAAGTATTCATATCCAAAACTACTTCATATCTCAGACCTACACACCAATATTGACCATAATTAAAATTTAAATTCCATTTAGTACCTACATCGTACCAAATCCATCTCAATATCTCAACACAACACATTAATTCGGACCCCACCACCAAATTTCAGACATCTAACTCTATCCGTACAGTCAATATTAAATTTGGTTCCATTTCCACCTTACCAAAAATAATCCCAATTTGTACCCAAATAATTTCTATTTAGAACACATGAATACGAATTTCCAAAACTTCCTACTTAATCCAATCCTATACTCCAACAGTAACCCTTATTCTAAATTTCAGGAATACAGCTCTATCGGCTCAACCAAATCCAATTTGTACCAAATTTAGTACACATAAGTACGAATTTCCAAAACTTGCTACACATTCCAATTCTACACTCTAAATTTCCAAAAAAAAAAAAAAAAAACATATAAACATGTTATCCCACAGAAATCTTAATTCCAAATTTAAGAATACCAGCTCTATCGGTTCACCCAAATCCAAATTTTATCATATTTAGTACACATAAGTACGAATTCCTATGGTCGTAAATGGACCATGTAGGTCCACGTTTTCATATAGCCCCCATATAACGGTACCTCCCGATGTTCGGTATTTTAATGATTTTATCGATATTATTAACCTGAATTGTTTAAAATTTGGTATTTGAAGTAAGTAATGGATACTACAGCTTATGACAGAAAATTGTCTGTGCAGGTCCACGTCTTCGTATAGCCGGTATATTTAAAATTTTAACAAATTTTTTTAAGGATTTTATTTGCTGAAAGTTTCCAAATTCGTTCCAAATAGTGGAGGGTATTCAGCCCGGCCGAACTTACTGGTTTTTAGCTTGTTACTGGTTGGATTTGTATTCTCAATGTTTCACCATTTAAATTTGAATACTAGACACGTCGCACTCTTAAGATTTCAACACTGCACTTAATACACTTTCCATCACGGCGAAGGGCACAAAAAACAAATCCTCGAGAATTGAGAATTTTTCTCGGAACAGAACCAACAGTTTAATTTTCAGAGTCAATACATCTTAGTAGTAATTCTATGAATTTAAATGTCTCTTTTCAACAGTAACAGATTTTCTCATACAATTTTAATTACAAATTCACAATACAAAACCATTTTCCTTTTTTCGTTACTTTGTTTTTGTTTGTTACTACATGCTACATAACTGCTCAAGGTCACGACGATGGTGTTTGTGTGTGTGTGTGACATGAAATCAATGAACATGTTTTGGAAATTTGAATAACAACATTTTCCTTCTTGTTTCGTTTCTGTTTTCACTTTTTTTTTATTTTTACTCCACTCAAATATTCTTCTTTGTTGTCCTTGTCAAATATTCTCTATCTATTGTATAGAGAGAAAAAAGAGAGGGAGACGATTCAATGCCAGCTCTTCCCTGGGTTTTCTGATGGCTTTGTTTGCCACTGTGTTGTGTCAGTGGCAAGGATACACGATAAAAGATATGCAAACAAAACTGAGTGATCCTTGTAATAAAACACTCTGTCCAATTTAAATTGTTTTATTTGTTGGAGACAACAACAATGTTGGGGTTTTCGTTGTTGGTGTTGTTGACATAGGATGGCATGGGAAGACTGGTGCTTTTATGTTAACAAATAAGATGGCAAACACTTTAAATACTAAAAATAAATTATGTTTGGGAGACCTCCACTCGGATTGTGAATGTAATATGGGTTAGGAGGGTTAACCTACAGCGTTGAGTTCAAGTGTTGATAAATCCAAATGTTTACGGAATTGATAATAATAATTAATATTAGATATATATTACCTGGACATGCGAATGTGTATGGAAGGATAAAAATAGGAAAGGAAATTAAAGTAAATAAATTTAAAGTAAATAACATCTTATAAGTTAGGCCAAAAATCGCTGTTATGTAACTAAAATTATGTCTATCTACTAAGAACCCGAAGCGTAAACCTTCCTTGACCCAAAAGTAAACTTATATGTACAGATTTTTTTTTAATTTTTTTTTAACAGGAATTTTTCTAGTGGTAGCTATCATGGCTTCGTAGGACATTTTCAAAGAAAAAAGTTTTCTATATTCGTATGCACAGTGGTTCCCAACAATGACAAAAATAAACAAGTAAGCAAAGGCTATATTCATGTGGGGCCGACCATGTGATACTCTATAACACTACAATATGTTTGAGGCCCACTTATATCCAAATCCATTTTGGTAGACTTCGAATTTGAAATGATGTCATAGAGCCCTTCCCAGATGTAACCCTTAGCTTTTTGACCGGGGGTATTTACCCAATATTTACGCTCTCTGTCGTGCTTATAGGTATTCAAAACAATTTCACACAAAAGTTGTGATGCATTTTATAGCTAAATATAATCCAATGGTCATCCAAAATGTTAGACTTTGTTCCTGTCCTTAACCCTCTACTCTTGCAAAATTCGGTGTCGTTTGGTTTTTAGTTGTGACCTGTAGAGCGACTGCAAATCAGAAAAATTTGGTTCATTTGAACCCCTAAATGTACATCTTCAAAAACAATGGGCTTTAAATCTGTCCCTAATCCTACCTTCATTCAAAATTTCGTGAGGATCGGACGATAATTGTGACCTGTATATAATATCCTCAAACACATAATGTTGCAAATTGAAAAATATCGCATGCAATAAAAATTAAAAAAATCCTCACTATTTTATTGACATAATTTTAGGCAATTTTCTTAGATCTTATCCTTTTCTGGCAAGAGACCATTCCGAATTGTTGAGAATTGTGAAAATCAGTCAAGCGGTTCTTGACTTATAAGCAGAATAACTAAGATCTATTTCTTTTACATATATATTTTACCTAATTTGCTATATATCCAATATCTTGGCTATCAGCATCGCTGTAATAGTCGGAAGTGACCTTTTAATGTATTTGTGATTGGGACGGGAAAAAGAATATCCGCGGTTTATTGGAAAATTTCGTATTTTTTTACTTAAACCATAAACCATAACTTGGTTTTATTTTAACCGCTTAATATTGCCTGATGACCGTCCAAATTGGTAGACTTCTGCCCAGCTCTAAACTCTAACTCCATGCGAAATGTCGATTGGTTTATAATTGTAGACTGTAAGGCAACAACAAACTTAGGAAATTTTTCTAATTTGATCCATTTCAACCCTTTTGCGATCATATTGTAAAAGGTTTCTATTCTAACCCACTTCCATTTTCAATTTCGTGAGGATCGGGCCAATATTGCGACAGGCGGACGGACGGACGGACATAGATAGGTAAATTGACTTATCTTGACAAGATAGGAAGATCCATATACACATTCCTATGTGCCGGATGAATATTTCGAGGTATTACATAATTAGCTCCAAAATCAAACTTATAGTGTTGTAGGGTATAAAAACCTGAATACTACAAATTGAATATGATTTTTAGATTAATTGTTATATAATGAAAAATTTTGGCACTTCAATTTTTTCGTATATCCGAAACAGAAATGTTAAATTTCAGGAAATCCATTGAAAATATATTATAAAAACCCTCCTAAGAAGTAGAATCGGGTGTGATTTTCTATGGGAGCTCTAGAAGGGCTTATGCTTAAATGTTGACCAATTTTTACAATTTTTTAATAAATTATTTTTTAATCATTACGAAACTGTACGAAACCCTCCACCATATGAAAGAAATTTGGAAATTAAAAAAAAAATGCTGTTTAAATTATAAAATTTAGAATATAGATTGTTACCATTATACTGGAGTCTAAACGAAGAACAAAACTCCAGTGAATAATATCGCAAAAAGGTCAAAATACCAAATATAGGCAGGCACCGTTTTGTGGGGGCTAAACAAAAAACCGTACCTATAATGAAATGCAAATATGAAATTTGAAATAATCCCAGTGAATAATGTCGCAAAAATCATCATAATACAGAATATATGGAGGTACAGGTATAGGGTTGTCCATATTCGACGGACCCATCTGGCAACGTCATAACTATTGACAGAGATGTCACATCGCTTAATGACATACCGCGTTTGAAGCGTCAGTCCAAGCAAATTTTTACCATGAACCAATACACGCCACGCGAGCGCTCTGAAATAGTTGTAAATTTCAACTATTTGATGTTTAAATCCCCCAATTTCGTTATATGCACTCTACAACAATGGTATTCGATGCCAGATATCTAATAAAGCTCAGAAATACCTTTGCCAAATTATATCGAAATCAGTTCAGATAATAATCCATAAATATCTTTAATCGATTTCATGTTTATTGTGCACCAAATGGTTAATATCAGCCCACTTTGAATGAATTTTGACATTTGCGACCGAATTCAGTACAGAAGTAAATAAATCAAATTTGGTGAAAATCGGTTCAGATACAGCTATACCTCGCATATATATTTCATTGGGTTTGGTCTTTAAGCCCCTCACATTCGTAAGATGCACTTCTCAATAATAATATTTGGTACCAGATATCTTATACTGGTCAGGAAAACATCTGTCAAATTTCATCGAGATCGGTTTAGATATATATGGAAGCTATATTACAAAGCTACCATATATATCTTCGCCCGATTTCAATTTTATTGTTATATTCGTCTAAATAGGATATTTTTTGGTACATCCGACCCAAATAAGCCTAGATGCAAATGTATCAAATTTGGTGAAAATCGGTTCACATATAGCTATAGCTCCCATATATATGTTTCATCCGATTGGTGAAATTCGATTCACAATTGGATACTCCTCCCATATATTAGTTTCCCCTGAAACCAAAATATAACTGTCCTTAAGCCATGATACGTGTTCTAATATTCAGGTAAATTCCCAATGTAGTCTTTTGTTGTGGAAGCTCTACTAAACATGCATAGTGGTGTGGGTATCACATA